CATATGTCCCTCGGAGAGTTTGGCAGTGCCTTGAACAATTGCGATCTGGTCGAAGTGGTCATTGAACGACCAAATGAGGAGACAAACTCGTCATCGCTTCTGGTTGTAGCTGTCTTGGAAGACACCAAGAGAGTGCTGAACGCACGGAGTGTATTGTCGAACCTACGGAATCCCTTGGATCCGTACTATTCTTTGGTATAGGAATTTCTAGACGTCGTCTCCAAGGACCCGCCTTCGGTCGTACCTCCGGACCGAGGTGTGCGTCATGATATCGACCTAGTTCCGGAGACCAAATACTGCGTAACACACCAATGGCTCCTGCCCAAGGAGCAGTGCGACGGCATTGACGCCTTTTCCCGTGCTAAGCACACGCTGGGGCGGTACGTGAGGACAAGTCTCCCCATTAGACACTACATTTTCTGTTCGGGAGCCGAACGGCAAGTGGTGTATCACTCATGCTTACAATAAGCTCAACGCTGCCACCGTTCCGGCACAAGCGCCAATTCCTAGAACGAATATTCTTCAGAACGACATGGTGGGATGTTCGAAGTAAGTGCACCCGATTTGGTAGATGGGTATTACCAATTGCTCATGAGAGCGAGTGACATTACGCTGACAGCGGTAAGCACTCCGAGCGGTATGCTCTGTGAGTGGCTGGTGATGCCCCAAGGGCTGTCAAACGCACCAGCAACATTTAATCGTCTTGTGACGCAGTTGTTCAGGCCCCACACTGCGTATGCACGCTCAAAGTCGTGCGGAGCAGGGGAGGACGGATGAGGGGAACCATATCATCCATCTGAGAGCGGTGCTCGAGTGCATGCGCACTAACAAACTGTACGCCAATGCAGACAAGTGTGTCTTTGGCGCAGAAGAGCTTCCCTTTTTAGAGTGCTTCATTGGGAAGCGTGGCCTTCGAGCGGATCCCGCTAAGGTCAAGGCCATTGTATATTGGCCGGTTCCGAAAAACCAAAAGGACTTGCTTAAGTGGCTTGGTCTTGCCAATTACTTGCGCACGTACAGCGTAAATGACGCAGAAATGGCCCGGCCGTTATCCAATCTCCTTAAGAAGGATGAAGAATGGTGTAGGAACACCAAACATCAGGAGGCTATTGACGAGGTCAAAGACAGCCCCCTGCATGCACCAATACTGGCGCTGCCAGACTCTAGTCGTCCTTTCAGCGTCGTCCGTGACGCTAAGGACTTCGCTATCGGCTTTGCACTTCTGCAAGCAGACGCCGAGGGGCGAGATAGGGTGATCGCGTTCGAATCTATACAGCTCAAAGCTGCAGAGAAGAACTACCCAAATCATGACAAGGAGTTACTTGCGATGAAGTATGCACTTGTCAAGAATAGGGTCCACCTGCTTGGCTCCAAGCCGTTTGTGATCTACACAGATCATGCGTCATTACGCACTGCGACTCAGTCATTCCACCTCTTACAGATGGCTAGATGGCCATCCTTCTTTGCGGAATATAACTTTGAGGTGATGTTAAAGCCGAGAAAGCAGAATGCTTTGGCTGACGCGTTGTCACGCAGACCAGACTATGAGCTTGCTCA